TTTCGCTGCTTTCGAGGTCAAATTTGTATATCTCGTAATACTGGATGTGTAGAATCTCTGCCCTTTCTTCGTCCTCTTTTTCTAGTTGATTTTGTCATACGCGTGCCTTGAGGAAGTACGCGACATGGTTGTTTGTTGATGAGATACAGAAGGAACCTGTTTATAACATATTCCGCCGGAACCTACTCGGCTGGCCCGTGAAAAGGACCTTGTAACTTCCTGATTTTTTCCGGAGATGAGTTCTGATGTATTCGGAAGTGTTTACATGATCACTCATGGTGAATTTGTAATGATCCTAGTTCTGGAAATGCAAAGGTCGCAGTTTCGTAGAAAATTTAACTCTGATCCATGTCTCGTTGAAATGTTGTTTATCTGTGAAATCGGTTGTGTTTAGAATAAAATTGATTGAAAACTGTAGAGTATATTTTCAATATAATTTTTTCCTGGTCGGCTTGAAAACTAACTATTGGTAATTTGGAAACAATGCAGTCGATCCAATGCAGTATGCTGTTTCAATTAGCGGTCTATTTGGCTTAGTTTTGGGTTATTTGACCGGGAGGCGCCTGAGTCGAGTTATTTACATTTCCTTCCTGTGTGTCGTGTTTTTGGTTCCTCCGGTCGGTCTCCTAATGCGCCGGCTGACGAATGGTGATTTATTCACGAGCGACAGGGCCATGAAGAGTCACTTCCTTTCCCTCACTGCGCCGGAGCCGGAATACGATTTGATTTGCTTCCGATGAGGCAGAACTCGACACAGTGATGGCGAATAAGACATCGCTAAATGCAAAACTCTGTATGCGTAACATGTCATACGTGTCATACGTAACACGTCATACGTGTCATACGTAACACGTCACACGTGTCATGCGTAAAACGTCGTGCGTGTCAAAAGTAGCACGTCACACGTGTCATGCGTAATTCTTTAACCCTCGCCCTGGCAGGGCATTTTTCATAACACGGCCTGGCAGGGGGGTCGATGCGACCCCCCTCGCGATTGGCTCCTATGGCACCTAGAAACACTCAAGTTTTTCTTAAATTTTAAGTAAAATTAAATTAATGAATTAAGTTAAAGTTAACCAAATTGCATCATATTGCATATCATTCGATTTGGCTGATCACCAGGAACACAATGATACCATTTTTTAAGCTCTAGCGTCATTATGTGCCAGGTTATTGGCAAAAACGTCATTTGACCTCAGTTGACCTCATTTGACCTGACCCATGGATAAGTACACCAAACAAAGAAGCACCAAGTGACCTGCTGTTAACCCTATTCCTGGCGGGGGGGGCCTCAGGAGCCCCCCCCCCTGAGGTTTTTTGGTTATTTCTCCCAAACGCGTTGAGCTAGGAAGCTCAAATTTTCTGACTTTTCCTAAAAGACTTCTACGCAACATGCCTGAAAATTTTGAGTTGATCTGACCTCAGGTCAGGTCACCAGAGGCGGTTTGGTGACCCTACCTCAGAAAAGTTTGCAATCACGCCAGAGCTAGAGTTTTTGACCGATCAATTTCTTCTCTTCAGGCTTTAGTAAGGGTACCAGTATGTGCAATTTGTATATCTCGGAATTTTGATATCGGTGACCTAAGGTCAGGTCAGTTTCGCGACCTCCCCATTATAAGTCAATGGGGGAAAAATCAACTCCCTGTTTTTACCACTAAAACGGGTCGGAATGGCCCCATATACCATACATGACTTCATATACGATCAACCTTCACTACCTTGAGGTCTGTTTTGCTGTTGGGCAGCTGTGAGGTCATGTGACGTCATCAAAGGTCACCAAAGGTTTTTGGCCAATAACTCCGTACAGGAACAAGATACAGACGCGTGGATGGTCTCATTGTGTTCAGCTCGTCAAGACGCATCGAATGATATACATGATGACCTCGAGGTCACGTGACCTGAGGTCAACCTTTGACCTTGACCTTGCGAGGTCAACATATATTGATTTATTCACGAGCGACAGGGCCATGAAGAGTCACTTCCTTTCCCTCACTGCGCCGGAGCCGGAATACGATTTGATTTGCTTCCGATGAGGCAGAACTCGACACAGTGATGGCGAATAAGACATCGCTAAATGCAAAACTCTGTATGCGTAACATGTCATACGTGTCATACGTAACACGTCATACGTGTCATACGTAACACGTCACACGTGTCATGCGTAAAACGTCGTGCGTGTCAAAAGTAGCACGTCACACGTGTCATGCGTAATTCTTTAACCCTCGCCCTGGCAGGGCATTTTTCATAACACGGCCTGGCAGGGGGGTCGATGCGACCCCCCTCGCGATTGGCTCCTATGGCACCTAGAAACACTCAAGTTTTTCTTAAATTTTAAGTAAAATTAAATTAATGAATTAAGTTAAAGTTAACCAAATTGCATCATATTGCATATCATTCGATTTGGCTGATCACCAGGAACACAATGATACCATTTTTTAAGCTCTAGCGTCATTATGTGCCAGGTTATTGGCAAAAACGTCATTTGACCTCAGTTGACCTCATTTGACCTGACCCATGGATAAGTACACCAAACAAAGAAGCACCAAGTGACCTGCTGTTAACCCTATTCCTGGCGGGGGGGGGCCTCAGGAGCCCCCCCCCCCCCTGAGGTTTTTTGGTTATTTCTCCCAAACGCGTTGAGCTAGGAAGCTCAAATTTTCTGACTTTTCCTAAAAGACTTCTACGCAACATGCCTGAAAATTTTGAGTTGATCTGACCTCAGGTCAGGTCACCAGAGGCGGTTTGGTGACCCTACCTCAGAAAAGTTTGCAATCACGCCAGAGCTAGAGTTTTTGACCGATCAATTTCTTCTCTTCAGGCTTTAGTAAGGGTACCAGTATGTGCAATTTGTATATCTCGGAATTTTGATATCTGTGACCTAAGGTCAGGTCAGTTTCGCGACCTCCCCATTATAAGTCAATGGGGGAAAAATCAACTCCCTGTTTTTACCACTAAAACGGGTCGGAATGGCCCCATATACCATACATGACTTCATATACGATCAACCTTCACTACCTTGAGGTCTGTTTTGCTGTTGGGCAGCTGTGAGGTCATGTGACGTCATCAAAGGTCACCAAAGGTTTTTGGCCAATAACTCCGTACAGGAACAAGATACAGACGCGTGGATGGTCTCATTGTGTTCAGCTCGTCAAGACGCATCGAATGATATACATGATGACCTCGAGGTCACGTGACCTGAGGTCAACCTTTGACCTTGACCTTGCGAGGTCCACATATATATCATTCGATGCGGATTGACGAGAGGATCACGATGATGCCCTTAGTTTGTTCCTATCTTGACTAATTCGAAAGTTATTCGAGAAAAACTCTCTCCATATCTAGCGCCGCCATTTTGACTTTTTTGACCCCTGTGACGTCATCTTTGACCTGACCGGAAAATGACCTGAGTAAAAATTGTAGATCTTGACCGTGCGTATCCGATGCCGTTTACCGTTTGTCGCTATCTTGCTTCGTTCTCGAGATCTCAGGGGGGGGGGGGCGAATCGGCCCCCCCCCCGCCAGTTTCTTGTCCCGGCGGAGCCCGCCAGGAATAGGGTTAAGTACTGTGGTTTCAAAGCACAAAAGTGATAGAACGAAGCGGATATCTCCAGTATTTTCCGAATTTAGTATTTTCCCATAGGCTTAACATATTACGACGCAATGACCTCTAACTGACCTCAGGTCAGTGACCTCAAAAAACGAACTATATGTTATACAACTCGGTGAACTTAGCACATCCTGAAAGTTTGAAGGAAATCAGTCCAAAACTGTGAGTTGGACAGGTGCAAAAAGAAAATTGAAATTTGACCATGACCTTGTACCGGTTTTTCTGACCTGGTGACCTGACCCAAGGTCACCGGGACCTGAAATTTTCAGGTCATATGTAAAAAGGTTGCCCCATAAGCTGTGCCAAATTTGGCGGCGCTGCGCGCCTCCGTTTTTACGCTATCTTTGAAAAACCTTAGGGGGGGGGTCGCATCGACCCCCCCTGCCAGGGCGAGGGTTAATGTGTCATGTGTTGCACCTCATATGCATCATGCCTAACACGTCATACGTGTCAAGTGTAACATGTGTTTCACGCATCGAATGTCTGGGTCGGGATCTTCAATCTTCAATGAAAATGGAACAAAGTACTCGAACTTTCATGTCTGAGCAGAGAGCACAAGCGTTTCGTCGAAATTCAAATAGGTCCATCGGTACACCAGGTAGCCAAGAGATACAGCTATTTAACTTAAAAATCAGTGTCGTGTTCTATCGACGCCGGTATTGTCACATTTACTCGGTCAAGTGTTGTTGACGCTAGATTGGAATCGCAAATCCGTGAGAACGGAGGTAGACACGTGAAAAGAGACATATTTGCGTTTGATACCACACGATCGCGGGCTTGACTACAGACGGTTCTATCGGAAGCTGACCTACATACGCCTAGGTGTCAGACGATCGTGACCTAGACAGATCATTCTGTCTGAAGAGGCAATCGAAAATGTCGGCCTTCTTCGTCCCATACTTGTTTGTCTAGTTGTTTACACTTTTAATTTTGAACGGCTTCCGTTAGAAATACATTCATCTGATGTTGACGATCTTCGTGATTATGCATTTGTTTTTGTTTTTGTTAGCTATGGTGAAATATCCCACGAAAAATAAGCCCTTGTGGTCATTTCTTACGATCGGGAATCGCATTTGCGTCCCTGCTTCGATCTTTCTTTGGCAACCTCGATTTTGAGGCTACCTACTATAAGTATGTTCCATATCAAGCTTGCAGTCGCAATTTCTTTGGAGGATCGCTCCTCCGCTCAAGAATTTGCGCCTCAAAATGTAAGAGCTGTATGTACAGAAATCACGCACTGCTTTCAGCAGGGCAATTCGGCTGCAAACTTGAAACGAAACAGAGTTATAGTAAGTATAACCGGCTGGCTACCTGTTTGAACCGCTGCTGAGCACCATACATCTGCAATGGATCTATGCGGATTGCGGATACCGCTGAGGAGAAAACGCCATGCTCATCGATTCACCGTTGTTTATATCAGTCATATCTCAGGTATGAGTCACGCAGCACAGAGACAAGAATGCAGCACAGAACAAAAAAGACTGACCAATGCAACGATGACACCCCCACATCATTCACTCGAACGACTTCTACGGAACTCGTATAAAAATCCGTCGAGGTTACTGTTACCGCATCCCGGTGAAGGTACGACCACAGAGCACATAGACGCTGCCAGTCTTTGGTAAATAGGTCAGTGAAAACAGACGTTCAGGGTAGTACGTGTCCCACTCTTTTCATGAAGATGTCCGGAGCAACAGATGAAGGAGTTGGGCTCGACATAGAAACGATGAATAATTTTCTGAATTTTCTTCAAGGACCCGATCCCCAGGAAGAAATAAAAACTGAGATGAAACTGATTAATGCCGATTAAGCTACGACAGGAAAAATTGTGCATGCTTTCGAATGACATTACCGAATGCATTGCTTATTTTTGTAGGCATTCAGGCCTGATGACAATCTAATATTTAGCGTATAATATTCAAAGTGAGTGTGCCTATACTGATAACCTTTCGGTTACAATTAATTCGGATGAATCTATAGGACTTAACAAATGATTGTGTATGTCATTATCTAATAGCTCTCGAATCTCGATGTTCGCAATTGTAGGTAGCTGACACACAACCATCTTCAATTTTTCTCCTATATGTACGCATCCACCATTTGGTTTTGCCTACATTTCTCCCAAATAAACTTTCATTGCCAAGCATGCTGTGTAGATGTTAGATTGAATGTTGGCTCATTGACTCTCTAATTTCCCTCGTGGCGACGTCTATGGCCTTCGCACGGATCACATAACGGATCGGCAACTCCCCCCCGCGATCTGTCTCCCCTGCCACCTGGTGGGCATTTAGGTGAACTATCTTCACTAAGGAAGCGGCCGGCCTCGTGCGTGTTGAGGGCGTCGTGTCGGAGCTAATTAAGTGATTTTTCTGCGGAACATGGTTTCTCAGCTAGCTCAGAAGATACCTATGGTATAAATGAGAATGGCAAGAATCGTTAGAGACAGGTTAAGTATTTGAGATCGTATCCTTTGTCATGAAAATCGTTGTTTTCATACCCACGTGGGCGACCTAGCGTCCATCGCTAAATTGGTAATTTTCCGATCGCTGTCATCTCTTACATATATTTCATGAGTACATTTTTGATAAATATTCATCTGCCGATTAAATTAAATCTATAACTTTCACAAATATCCTACTTGCATAAAGTATAAACCCACGCCGGGCCGGTACACGGTACCAACCGCGCCGGGCCGAGGGTGTATGAAACCCCCGCCCCCTCCTAACTCGGCTTCTGGGCTACGTAGCCACACGGGGTAAGCGGCATTCCAAAGGGCGTAAAAATAATGGCGGAAATACTTCGGTCATTTTTTTAGGTCAGATCAAAGGTCGGGTCACCAGAGGTCATTAAAGGCAAATTTTGTCTATTTCAACAATTTTCGAAACATCCGACGCATAACTTGGGAACCAACAGAACTACAGAGGCGCGGAAAAGCGCATTCGATAGCTCTTTCACAGGTCCTTCTGAGTTTTATTCACAGATTTAACCTCAGGTCAACGGTTTAGCGTCCAGAGAGCAAAATCTCCAAAAATAGCCGTGTTTACGAAAAACGTTTTTTTCGGTAATATCTTTTGACTCAAACGAGCCACGACATTACTTTTGCCAGCATCGTGTTCCTCTCGTCGAGACGCGTCGAATGAACTATAGGTTGACCTTGAAAGGTCATTTTGAAAATCTTACGTCAGGTGAAGGTCATGACCTGACCGGAAAGGGTCATTCTGCATATCAGTCGATCCGTATCGTCGAGCTGAACACATCTGACGTGTTTTCATCGCTCTAGCACGTCTCTATCAAAAGTTATAGTAAAAAACTGCTGGTGAACGTTTTTATTCCACTGTTTACATACATGTAACCCGATGTTTGAGGGTGTTAAGGATGACCCGCCCAGACCAAATGAGACGCCTTTCAATTTGCTCTTATTGAATTATTATTGGTATTACACATATTATTATGCATATAGAGAGAGAGAGTATTGAGTATGCGGCAATATATAGGGTGCAAAATGACCTGACCTGGCTCTAAGCCACAGATATTTTGAGATGTCTGATGTAACACGTGGCTAAACCAGCCTCGGGGCCAAAGCTATACGAGCACTGTTTAGCAGCACGCTGTTACCCAGTACCTAGCATCATCAGGTATGGGTGCCTCCGTTCCTATGGAAACGTAAGCAAACTTCACAATGTTGCCAACGTCTTAATGGAAACCGGCTAAGTGTCAATACCTTGTAGCGGCGGGGAGGGTCGTATCGTGAAACAGGGGCCGAGATCCACCTATAGTCACGTTAATGGCCAGCTCGTTGGATTTGCTCCGATGTTATCTACTCCAACTGGTAGCCTGTGACCATCGAGATAGGAACAGAGGATGAACTCGTACTATGGGCAGACGGATGAGGAAAGGTGGCTTCGTGTACGGCCAAAAACGACGTTAAAGTTGCGAGGACGTGCTTCTTGCTCATACAACTCAAGCATGACTAGAAACATTTGTATCATTATGCATGCTCCAGCTGATTAGGGAATAAAGTATGTAACATTTCCATGTTATGGTAACATTCCAGCTGTTAGAGAGACTCTGTAATTTAATCCGTTCACAACCTTTGATTGTTTTTGTTTTGTTGGGTTAGGCCCTTTCGGTCCATTGAGACCATTGCAGAGCCGGAAGGATTATAGGAATTGGGGGAAACATTGGTATGGACAGGCACCCTAGAGAGTCACCGGGGCTGAGCCCGTCCCAATGGACAGGACGACCAGCCCCCCAAGCACTCTCTGCACCCGGCTACGGGTGTGCTCCCTAGGGAGCAGTGGTGCGCTTCAAGGGAGCAGCCCGCATGAGATAAAGTTGCCTGTCCAGTCCGGATCGAGAGTTGCTGCGTGGAGGAGAAGGATTTGAACTTGATCTGAACATCCTGAGGATGTAAACGACGGACGGGTGTTGCGTTCACACCCGTTTCCCCGTGCCTTTTAACACTGGTTGCGGCGGGCGGCCGGCTCCCCTCCTTAGTGAAGATATCCGCGCCGCTAGATGGCAGCCCGCTCCGCGGGTACACCGATAACAATGGGAAGCGGGGAGAGTTGCCGATCCGTTAGGTGATCCGTGGCCTTCGGTACGATCCGCCGCCGTTCCTCAGCCCGAGGACAGCGCCTCTGGCGGACAGAATCGTAACCACAGCTTCTAAGCTACACCGCTAGGTGACGCAGAAGACACGATGGATGAGAACGCTATACACTTGTGGGAGTTAACGTCGATATTCAGACACAGAAAAGCAACAGGCTGCGATTGCAGACGTGTCATCAAAGCAGCATCTTCAAGAACTCTGTAATGAGAACAGAACAGGTTATCAAAACCGCGTACATGTGCATGCAGGGTGAATGAACGTTGCGGATAACCCCAGATTCAGATAGGTATTTCCTCCCACAACGCTGGCGGGCAAAGCTGGCTGATAGTTCAATGCTTTAGGTTTAATACCTCTTTCTCTGTTTAGGCAGCCACATTGTCACTCAAAACAGTCCTGCCTCACTCCGCATTATCTTTAAAGAAAGGTTTTAATTTGAGTGTAACTTATGCCCAATTTGACCGTAGGTACATTCGACGAAGATAACAATAAAGTCAAGCAGACAGAACAAGGAGTCACCTCATGCGTGCAAATATATCCCGACTTGTGATTGGTTCGCCTGTGCTTAAAGACTACTGAGGCGGCTGTCCTTACCTTCATAGTCAATTTTGCCGTTGTTGTCGGCGTCAGCCATGCGAATGAGAGAGCGGAGCTCGGCCTCAGTCAGTGGCTCGTCAATCAGCTCCATAGCTCGCCTTAGCTCATCCTGGTCAGCACGGAAACAAATGAAATCATATAATCGCCAGATGGTGAGGTGTCTGACGAGCTATCGGACATGAGTGTTTCTGTTGACATCTTAAAACGACTGGTAATTAAGATATCGTAGTCTGTCATAAAGGTAAATACCGTGAACAATCTAATAGACAATAAAATCAAAACCCGGACACCCGGTGAACATAAGAAATAAGTCCTGCACAATGCACATGCACCCAGGGGCGCGGGAACTACTTTCCGACTGGGGGGGCACACCATAATAGAGATTAACCTAGGGTACCCCCAAATCTAGTTTTCTCACCGGTTTTAGGCCACTTATTTTTCACCCCTCGGCTTTTTCAACAAAAAAAGAAAACATTTGCAAAAAAAAGTGTGGTATTCCGTCTCAAAACTGTGGGGGCACCGCCCCCACGGCCCCAGAGTTGGGGGGGCAAGCTGCCCCCACTGCCCCCCCGGCTCCCGCGCCTATGCATGCACCGAATGTGTGAAACTTATATTCCTCTAGCGGTAGCCTGACTGATACATATCAATAATTTAAAAGTCGCCAAATGAGAAGGGAGTGTCGCAATCTAGGTCCCTTTTACTGATCCTCAGTGCTCAGACCCTAAGTGGCGACTCTCGTTTCTCGAATTATGTACTGACGACTAATATCCCTGCTTGGTCCCCACGTCATGACAATGCTTAACATTCCGCGAGTCCCTTACTATGGTGATGAACCCGTTGCCGTCTTTGTCGAACAGTCGGAAGGCAGCGCTCAGGTCTGTGGAGATGTCAGAACTCTTGTCACCCCCTTCCGAGGGGGAGAGCGTCTGCATCTTGAGGAACCACGTGATGAACTGCTGCTCACTGATGAGACCTTCGGCTGTGGGGAAACGGGGAGGGGGGGGGTCAGTGTGGGTCGTTGTGGGTCAATGAGAGCCACGGAGGGTCAGTGTGGGTCGTTGTGGGTCAATGAGTGTCAGTGAGGCTCTGGAGGGTGAGTGAGGGTCAGTGATGGGCCAGCGAGGTCAGCGAGGGTCAAGCTTGGGTCAATGGATCAGGAACCAGATAGTCAAAGAGGGTCAGCAATGGATCACAGAGCGCCATGAGGGAAAGAGCTGGATAATGAAGGTCAGTGAGGTTGAGTGAGGGTCAGCGAAAGGTCAGCGCAAGTCAGCGCTGGTCCTGGGTGGAAGGGTCAACACGGTTCAGCGACATCAAACCACTCTCTTCAGGTGAACAGTCCAAGGTAAACACAACACCCGCCCGATGATCTGCAGGATTGTCAACTCGGTGCAACTGCAACACCTAAGCTGGTTTAATAATTACTATTCTGATGCAGACAAATATTACTTTTTTTAATCATTCTTCTGCAAAAGTATTAATATTATTTAAAAAAAAAAACTTTTTATTGGATGCTGTTTTACGTTTGCGGTGCATTTAACCTTCGAAATAAAACAATTGAGTCGGCCAAAAAATTATCTTTGCACAACGTTTTGACTACCGTCTGTAAAATAGTTACTACGCACCACTCATTTATTGACTTCAAATTGGTCTGCTACATACCTCGTAACCCTCGCTGACAGATCATTGGCAACCAAAGTAAATAAAGCCCCTATTCTGACAATAATCGTAACAGATGAGTTGGGCCCGTCCCAACGGATAAATAGGAGCCAAGACCCCGGCCACATGTATGCGAGCCTGTTAAATGTGTACCAAGGACACTACAAACGTACAAAAGTACCTTCCCCAGCACACGACCCTCACTGCATTCGACTTATCCGCTACTCACGTACCCTGTTCGCCAGCTGAGTTCATCAGGTCCGTGAGCAGGGAGTCGTCGACGTCAATGCTCAGCTTGGTGTGCAGCATCTCCTTCAGCTCGGTGGACGTGATGCTGCCGTCTCCGTTCTTATCCGTCAGCCGAAAGACCATCTTCAGCTCTGAGGCGATTCGGGGAAGGGATGTCAACAAAAGAACATTTGCTACAAAATACGAGCTAAAAGTCGAAGCTAGTGTAACAAATGTAGCTCGTAGCTACAATATGAGTTTCTCTTCGATCTACGTAGGCTGGTAGGTACTTATTTTGGTAAAAATGAAAATAAAAGCTCCTTCCGCTGGATCTTCAAGTTGCATGTACATACCTTCAAGTTCCTTTTCGCTGACAGCTGGCGTCGGTTCCCGATCGACAGCTTCCTGCAACAAAATATGTTTTGATCAATTATGGCGCAAAAAGCTGCGATTGAGTGACACTTAACGACCAGTTTTTAGAGTCATCACCCAAACTCATTCTGGATGATATAGCGATATAGCTCAGGCTACAGTTTACAGAGTACCTATATTTTATACATTAATCAGGGACCGCGGATTCAAATTCTCGTAGGGTGTGCAAGATGTGGCGACTGGGCCCCCCATCTCACGCCGGGCCCCTTCCAAAAAGTCAGCGCCGCCACTGCTCCGGAATAAGCCGGTTCTAAGGAAGCGGGGCGGGAAAACCTTCAAAATTGACGGTCGTAAGATGACTGAGCGAGCATCTTACGGTCAGGAGATGCATGAGCAGAGTAAATGCACATGCATGCATGCAACGTGATCCAAATCGATCTCCGATTTTACCAAGCAGGCCCCTAAAGGGTTACAGTGACCTTCAAGGGCCCCTACGGGCCTCAGAGAGACCTTTTGCACAGTTGATGTTGGCACACTTCTTTTTATCATGGATTACATGAATTAGTTTAAAAATAAAACACGGCCGGCGGGATGTTTGGGTCCATCGATTTGGCCCCTATGACCTATGGGGGTCTGGCCTCCGGCCCCCCTTAGCTTCCCCATTGCTCTACGGTCCACACGCTGGCTTTGGGGCCCCATAAAGGCCGCACGCCAGCTCCTGAGACCCAACGCCGGCAATTCTAAGGGTCACCGGCGCACCGCACACGGTCTTTGAAGGTCCCATAACGGCCTCTGGAATACCTCATGTACCTACATAGAACTAGATGCCGGCAGCGCTCTTGCGTTGCCTTGGGCCAGAATTGGAGGAACGGTGCTGAGGGCACACACCGGGCAAAACCACCGAAACCCAGACTGAGCTTGGACTGAACCAGGAACCTGAAACCAACCGAAACATCCCAAAAATGCTTGAAAGCACGCGAGATTGGTGTGGATATCTACCTACAGTAAGATATGAATTAACTGCACGTGCATAGTTCATGCCCCAGGCACCTAAGTGCAGTCATTTTCATGACATCATGTAGCGTGTGTCTAGTTCTATCAGTGTACCGACTTTTGTGTCGCTAGATCGACGTTTCCCGGGATCAGAGGATCCCTCGTCAAAACCGTTATCCGCCCCCCGCACGCGCAGCTTGCACCCCTCGGATATTATCTCGCCGGAATGTCGTGATCAAATGTATTCTTCTTATGACCTGCAAGTTTTGAACCAGTTAGAGCTGCCGTTTACCCTGCAGGCGTGGCAACGTACGAAGGGGTGCAATCGGCTTGCACGTGCATAGCTCATGCACCACAGAGTTTAGCTCAACCAAATGTGCATTATTTTGGAGGCCTTGCCTGGGACTACCATTGAACCGATTTTGAGGTTGATAGCTTAAAATTTCTTTGAGCCAGAGGACCTCACGTCAAAACGGTTTTCCGCCCCCAGCACGTGCAGCCTGCACCCCTAGCAGACGGTGACCCCACTGGAAACTGGTTCAAGGTGTTAACGATGTGTCCCGCCAGTATGGCTTTGCCCGTGACCTCTGGTTGACCTGTAGCCTTGACAAAAAATTTCGTGTCACCGAAACTTTGAAGCGGAATAGCATGTGCCACGAAGCACCGAGCGAACCGAGGCCAGCACCAAAAGTTTACCTCGCCGGAGACGAATCAAACGGTCCCACTTTCGTCCCGATCGGTCCACCCATTTTGACTCCAGGTCCAAAAAAGCTTGGACAAACTCACATACTCACTCACTGACAAACAGGTTCAGGATCTCAGGTATCTCAGGAATCGGCCTGGGGCCTTCAAGAGCCAGTTACACTCAAAACTTTTTTACTACCTCCTGGAGGATTCATTTTCATCAAACCAGCAAGATAAGAGTATATTGAAAGGGTAACTCTTTGCTACCATTATGTGCATAGTAACGGTACGTGGTTGATATGAACTTATTCGCCAGCGAAGAGTATTATTACCATGTAAATATCAATATTACTCTCGCGATCCAGAACATCACGAAAACAGTGGCGGCGGAAGGTATTCTAGGATAGGGGTGCAAACGATATTGAAGCGCCCCTTCCCGCTGGGCGCCCCTTACCATGCCGATGGCCGTCCCTGCACTGGAAAATCAGTTTCGCCCCTATACAGGCGCCCATAGAAGTTTGCAGAGTGCTATTCCTGGTCATAATCATCTCCCCAGTAAAAAAAAAACGCAAAATACGCCCTAGCACTAGGGGTGTAACCGCCCATACGGACAGTGCAATTTTACAGGCCCCAATCTCGGACCTCCCTTAACATTCATATGTTGTAAACGGCAAACCGCCCCCGATAAATGTTACACAAACTAATTTCCTCTCGCATATCCATAGGCGCGGGAGCCGGGGGGGCAGGGGGGCAGCTTGCCCCCCCCCAACTCTGGGGCCGTGGGGGCGGTGCCCCCACAGCTTTGAGACGGAATACCACACTTTTTTTGCAAATGTTTTCTTTTTTTGTTGAAAAAGCCGAGGGGTGAAAAATAAGTGGCCTAAAACCGGTGAGAAAACTAGATTTGGGGGTACCCTAGGTTGATCTCTATTATGGTGTGCCCCCCCCCCCCCCCCAGTCGGAAAGTAGTTCCCGCGCCCCTGCGCATATCGGCCATCAGGCGCCCCTTTTTGTCGCATGGAGCCTGCAACGCTATAAGCCCTCATATGTTCGTGTTGGCGTTCGGAGGCTATCGCCTTCAAAGACGTCTCCATAAATGTTTCTTTTTCGTCCCACACACAGGCGCCCCTCTTTCGCATGCAGGCGCCCCTCTTCCGCATGGCGCGCTTCTCGAGTAGCTGCGCCCTCCTAGCCTTTATCGCCTGGCAAGATTATATTCGACAGGGTCGGCAGCATCTGCCTTTGTTTCAGATAAGGATGCCCTCCACTCTTCAGCATATCAAAAGATACTTTTCCCACGTCATTGCCACCCTCTTCGTGTCACAAGTGCCTTTATCAGTTGCGGTGTCGCCTCGCACTAGAGGTCTGCACCGGCCGGCTGCAGCCGCGGCTGGCTGCAGCCCCACGGCTGTGGGCCGGGGCGGCTGCAAATATCTCCAAGAACACGGCTACGGCTGTGGCCACGGCTGTGAGATTTCAAGCTCAATCTTAAGTACTCAAATATAAAATTTTAAATCCTTAATCTTACATTCGGATAAGCAGTCTAGCCTGTAAAAATCATGCAAAGGATGCCCAGCAACACTGAAAGTGGTGAAGCCTTTGAAAACCTGTAATGGTTTTACAATTTGCTGTAGGGGAGTTTGCTCTCTGGTACAGAATACTAATTATAGGTACCAATTGTTCCTTCATCATCAAGAGCTTGACAGTTTCAGAAAATGCAACATGTTGCATTGTCACATCCCTCTCAAACCAATCTCACCTGGTCATTAGGAGAGCACCTTACAGCTATTGAAGACGAGCGTTCAATAATTCTTTCAGGTAATAGAAAAAGAAATCACGCCTAGGTAAAGGCAGGTAAAGGCTTCATAAAATATTATCTAAAATAACTCTTAGATGTATTTCTGGATTTTCGGCAAGTCCAATTACATAATATAAAACTGGCGCTTTATGTTCTAACTGGTGTTTGAGTGACCGCTAACAGAAAATGCTGATCAACGAAGCCAATAGAATTAGATTATAAGTGAGCATGAACCTTACTTACGGCTAATTCACATGATGGTGAAAACCCTGAACACGTGATTCACATGACGGTGTAAACTCTGAACACAATATTTCTTACGCGAGCTGTTGACTTTACTAATAAAATGACGTCTGCTTCTAAAAATGTTAAAATTTAATACCTATACTTTGTTTGAGAGCAAATTTTTAATTGTATAGCATTATCATTTATAAATTATAATTCTTATGGCTGTTAATAGTGACAAAAAACAATTTATTGCCACTTCTTTGCTATTCACGTCATTAAAAACTTAAGTAAAATTTTTGATTGAAAGAGGCAATTGTGGCTCGCACGTCCTTGGGGATTTGAGCGGAGATCATTATTTGGAAAAAATCAAAATAGATGAATGTTTTTCTTTCTTGGATGCTCACTAGTGTTTTGATGCCTTGCATATCAAATTAGTTTGAGACTTGCTCAGAATGCTGCTTCAAGCCTGGCATATCACACCCCAGAAAATATGCAAGGTAAGAAAGAAGCAAGAGTTTTGACTAGACAATCACTGTTTGACAGTCCATCAACTTCAGTTTCATTTTCCATACCTAACATTGATAATGAAAAGCATCAGGGTCTGTTGTTCTGTCCCACAACCATGCTTCAGGATTTGGCATTAGATGTCTACACTGCTAGTGCTTCTATTCTGGTTCGTTGTTAATGTTTTCTGTTGATGTATAAGGTACCTACCTACCCATCTTAACCCCTTGCAAGGGCTTGTGTAGGCATGCGTTGCGCATCAGTCTTCAGGTCTTTGGCCTAAAGCCAGATACACAACCACTTAACCTATGATGCTTCATGAGCTTGAGAATCTATAGCCCATGGCAATGTGCTTTTGGCTATATGTTTTAACTAAAAACAACTTATTATATACTATTTGGTTGCATTTCATTGAAAGTATCCACGGCCGGCTGACGGCTGGCTGCCCACAGTTTGCCACGGCTGTGGGCGGCTGTGGCTGTGGAGCCACGGCTGCGGGGCGGCTAGGCTGTGGAAAATTGCAGCCGTGCAGAACTCTACCTCGCACTGCTCAGTTTTATGGCTGCCGCACCTCTTAACTTCCTGCCTCCTCTACAGATTTTCGAGGCGCCCCTTTCCATAGCTTTAGGGTGCAGCTGCCCCCCTTGCCCCCCTGCTTCCGCCGCCACTGCACGAAAACTCTTTCCTTTTGGGTATCGTGACTCGTGTACAGATAGTCGTTTCATGCGTGGATCTTGTTTACCCTCGTGAAGATGATATTTGAAATGGAATCACTCAGCCAATCAGAAACGAGATCGGCCGTTTGCGGTTTGAAGGCCGCGCGCATCTGTCAGTTTTCGGCCGTTGGTCTCCGAGAGCGGATGTGAGCAGTGTCGGTGCCGCGCGGCGTGGCCGTCGGTGATTGTGCTTGCGTGTTGTTCATCGCCTATAGAGCCTCTGTGGACATTTTATTGTAAGTACCGATGTGCTAGAGCATTGCATGCCGCTGAGTGGTGTTGATTTGACCTGGTTAACAGGACCCCGTGCACGGCCACGTGGCCTAGGTTGTGAGTACGTACATTAATTTTGTTGTGATGCTACAAGTTTATGCATTTTGTTGGTGACTTTGAAAAAGCCTTGCACTGTAGTGATCCAGTCTCATTATCTCACGCATACGGGCGACCACCCAGGAACGCCGTCGCTCTCTTCAAATATTGTGCGCTGTGCCTTATCCAATATGAGGGCGCTGAATGTCTTGTATTCACATTCAAAGTGCATTCAAGTTGTACTCGTATCGTGGTGTTTATTTACCGCTTGTGCATTGCTGAACGCTTCGTATAAATTCGTATGCATAAGTGGAGAGTCTCACAATGTTCATTGCTGGTGTGCCCCTCGTATTGTTTGTACGGAAGCCAAATATACATTGTTGCTCTTGAAGCATGTTTTTTTAGTTGGTGAGCTCCGGTTAACAGAAGCTTCGTGAAGCTTCTGAAGCAAGCGTCTGTGAGTCTGTTACCATCCTCTGGGGGGTTTACACTAAAGAAAAGAGTAAACATTACCATGTGACAAAGGGTAGGCCAGAAGAATACACTCTCTGTAGGAGGGTAAAGCACAGAGTAGATGATGCGCTACTCCCTAGAAAAGGGTTCCGTTTAAGATTTACCCTTTCAAAGAGTGTAACCCAAAAAATGCTACACTCTAGACAAGAGTAAATCAAAAGAGTTTACCATTCAGAAGATGGTAAAAAACGTCTGTGTGTCATATTACCCCTCCCTGGCGAGTTTACTCTTCATGAAAGAGTAAAATTTACCATCTGGAAGGTGGTAAAAAACGTCTGTGTGTCAAGCTACCATGCTATGGCGGGTTTACCCTTCAGGAAATGGTAAAAAAGTTTTCAGTGTAGGGCCCTCGGAAAGTGGCATTATACCCTGAGATAGCTGTGTAAGGCCCTCGGGTAACGGCTTGGAGCCCTCGGGCATCGGCCTGCGCCCCGGGCATTGGCCAGAGGTCCTTGGATATCGGTCTAGGGCCCCTCAAGAGCCGGTGAGGGCCTTCAGAAACTGGGGTGGGGCCCTGAGATAACTGTGGGGGCTTTCAGGTGCTGATGCGGGACCCTTAGGCATCGGCCCCAAGAGGAGGTTAAGGAGGGCAGGGGGCAGGGGCCCTCAAGAGCCGGTTAGGGCCCTCAGAAACTGGCGTGGATCCCTGAGCTAGCCATGTAGGTACTCAGACACCGGCGTGGGACCTTTAGACATCGACTTGGGGCCCTCGGGCATCGGCCTGGGCCCTCAAGAGCCGGTGGAAGCACTAAAAATGGCGTGGGTGGGGTTCTGAGATAACCCCTGAGATAACACTAGAGCCTGTTCACGCCTTCAGGCACCGGTGCGGGACCATCAGGCTCGCGCTGGGGCCCTCGTGAATCGGCTTGGGACACTCAAGCGCCAGGGCCGCATGGGCCCCCACAACGAACTGTGGGTGTGCAAAAATAGGTGTTTGCACACCCTCAGGATTTTCAGGGTGTGCAATTGCACACCCTGCCCCCCGGAATCCGCGGTCCCTGTACATTAATTTGCACTGCCATAGTTGTCTGCCTTGCAGTCTAACCAATTCATTCTGGTAGTTGCGGGGCCTGCTTACCTTGTTGCGGTGTTTGTTGGGTCCCACGTTGAGAGGCCGCTGCGACCGATCTTTCTTTTCTCCAGAGTACGCCTTCTTTACCCTTCTACCGGACATAATTGTGGTGTCTGCAGACGCCCCTTGGGCTCACTTCCAAGGGAAGGCCGTCAGGGCCTGGCACTTCGCCGCACGCCCCCTCAGGCGGAAAACTGAAGTGACATCCACTGGCAACTATCACTTCTGTGGTTGCCTGTAGGTTGCACTGTAGTCGCCTAGCAGAAGTGGAACATCTGTGGAAGAATAAGGGTCTAAATAAGCATAAAAAAGTCCGACCATGGTCACCGCATAGTGGTAGGAATTGCAACATTTTCCCTCCCTTGCTTGGGTTTACTTAACCCGCGCCCTGATGGGGGCCATTTTGCCCCCCCCCCCCTGTGGTTTTTCTTAAATAGCGAGAAAACGGCGGCGCTGCGCGCCGCCAAATTTTTAGTACCTTACCGGGCATTAATTTGACACTTTCACACAAAATTTCAAGTCACAGGTCACCTCAGGTCAGGAGTTATTGAGGTCAAACTGAGGTGATGTTCGAGTAAAAATGAGCAAAAAACATGACATCTTGAAACGCTCACCAATTCTACAGTTAACAAGCAATTTTAAAGTTCTTTATGTGGTTGTATAGAGGAAAGACGGCGCTACAAAACTGCTATCTCGGATTTTCGAAATTTTGGGATTTTAACCCCCAAAATCAAGAAATTGATTTTTTTAGAAAAACTCAAAAAATTTCCATTTTTTTCGAATTTCGAAAAAACGGAATATATGTGATAGTCTCTGCGCTCTTCGATATACATAGCAAATTTTAGATCGATACCTTTTTTTGGCCAAGTTATAGCAAAAAAAAAACTGTTAAAAATTGATGACGTCAAATTTTTGAACTCAATTTTTAGCAATTCTAGACCTCGTAGCGCAAAACGGAGACCACCATTGAACTCCTCGTGACGAGCTGCATCGAATCGATGCCATTTTATGCAAAAATATCAACTTTGAAATTTGACCTAATTTGACCTGACCTTGACCTGACCTTGACCTGACCTTGACCTGACCTTGACCTGACCTTGACCAAAACGTGACCTTGGCCGGCCCAAAAGTCTGCCTGACCCACATTATCGCATTTGTCATGTAAAATGGACCATAAAACATGTATCACACGACACTTTCATATTGTGACCCCCCAGTGACCTGACCTCTGTGACCTGACCTGGTATCAGTGACCTCAAATAGCAAAATATGTGTTTGAAGAACATTTCCCCATCGATGATTTTCAATGAAATGCATTTTACTCGATTTTACAACGCATTTCTTGAAATGCCTGTAAACGGTGAAAATTAGACCTTTGACCTGACCTGTGACGTCATCGGTTTGACCGAGGTCAATGAAATTGGGTCACAAGGTAGTTCCCCGTTGGGGCTATCCAACACCGTTTACTGCTTGTCGCTATGTTGCGTGGTTCTCGAGATCTTAGGGGGGGGGGGGCCAAAATGCCCCCCCCCATCAGACTGCGTTGCTCGGCAGACCCCATCGGGGAGCGGGTTAAAAGTTGGCTGCCAGCCTGGAGGCTAAATAAAATAGTTCAGTATAGTCATGCAGAACATTAGATCATCGCACTATAAGATGACAATTTCTGAATATCAATAGACTACATGATTAGTGAAACATTGCGCGAAGAAGAGGTCACCATGTGCGCAGGTCCAATGTTCATCATCTAACCTGACCCCTACCACTGCCCCTCTCACGTGCCAGGCTCCTCACAAGTTGCGTGTCTGGTGCGTTTGTTGTGCCGCTGACACCAGCGGCAAACTTGGCTACGGCGTCTGATTTGGCAGCACGCTCACGGTGGCAGTCACGCGCTCTGGCAGCGCGACCGGCACCTATCCTCAGCTGTTGACCGTGCAGCTCGGCGCGCACGCAGTTTGTTGACTGGCCGTCGTCCGAAAATAGACCGGTGTTTCACGGCGCGAGGTAGCGGTGGGAGCTCGGCCCACCAGCGAACGGTGTGAATATTCGTGGGTTTGGGGAGACTATGGCAGAATATCTCTACAAAGCTGAATTTTGTCCTACATGATTCCTCTGTGTTCCATAAAAAGATATGTTGAATTATTTGAAACAATCGCATCAAGAGTCATCAGCTATCTGGATTCATTAAGCTGTAACTTTGATTCTAGACATTATCACGCTCAAGTTGCCGAAAAACGGAGTTTTTAAAATGATTTTTGGACATATATGAGCTATCGTCGATTCCCGATGGAGGGGAGCCAGGGCTGCCACTTACGATTGTTAGTGGATGGAGTTATGGACAAGAGTGCTTACCATGATGGAGGGCAAGACAAGATAGGTATGTTGAACTCTATGGAATAATTCGGAAGGAAAGGTGAAGACTGAAGAGCTTAACCCTATTAGTGGCAGGCTCCTGGCTACCCCTATTAGTGGCAGGGGGGGGGGCTGTTTACGACCCCCCCTTGATATCTCGAGATCTAACGGACCGATTTTCAAAATTCAAACGGCATTCGATTTCGCTCAACGTGATCTACATTTCTAAAAAATAAAAATTAAAAATGTCAATAGGGGGGGTAGAGGGGGGCAAAAACGGGCAAATTGCAGATACATTTTAGACTGTTTATCACGGCCAGGTTTCTGAACCAATCTTAACGCAACTTTTGCCGATCGCTAGAGAATGAACCAGGAATTCACATGGATCCTAAAAATATGCATTTTCAAAAAATCATAGGCGGATACAGATCATTGAGATGGGGGTACACAAAAAGTATAGTAAATAAGGTTTTTGTTGGTACTGTTTCTAAGAAGGGTGGTAATGGTCTTGTTATGTTACAATTTTCTTATGAGAGAACGACTACAATTGTATTGGTCATGCATAGGCGGTGTCAGGGCACCTATGTTGGGAGGTAAAACATAACCCCCTTTTTGGACGCCTGGATCCGCCTATTATAGCAAAAACGTGTCAAAAGAGGATGCACAATAACTGTATATGTTATCACATGATACCTTTCATTCACTGTTCGTAAAACTGGTGCAGCGTCGTGATCTTCGCCCAAATGACTCGCTTCACGAATAGGACCCCCCAATTCCCAGTGCTCTGGAGCCGCCCCTGGTATAGTTATGAACTTGAAATTTTCAGGGAATGTGCCCAATTTAGTTTTAGGAAAAGTCAGAAAATTTCAGCATCGTAGCTTCAGCGGTTTCGGAGATATTCCCGAAAAACCTGAGGGGTGGATAAAAACAACCCCCCCCCTGCCAAAGCAGAACCATAGACCTTGCAAAACATTTTCGAATAGGGTGCCATACGGCATACACATCGTCCAGTGTCGTCTTTTTAAATTACGCGTAATAGCAAAGCATTTGTTATAATGACCGCACACGATAATGATTTAGCCGGAATGTGACTCAATAATGACTCAGTATACCCCCAAACAGCTCGTTAGGAGCTCAGCGTCGCCATGGTGACGTTACGTACGTACATAGGCGGGAGATAACAAATGGAAACCAGTAAGCATCTTATGGGCCTTTATCGCCATTGTAACGACCAGTGCTCTTGGAAGCCGTCTGTCTCGTATTTACATCGTAATTGAACCTTTGCCAACGGACATTGCCTTCTATTTGTGTGCTGGATCGTTTTGGGCTTTCGGTCCATGGTGGTTGGATTGTCCTGGACACTTGATCGGAGCTTCTGGATCACCCGTGGACATGTGGCCAGAACTGGGATGTCAGATGAGCTAAAGAGGGTCACCACTCTCTAGCGAGCACATCGGACTGTGATTCCAGTGGCAGGGAAATGGTAGTTGAGTTTGGCTCTCCCTAGGGTGATGTTCAGGTGCTCTACTCTGTTCAGGGTGAAGGCGCTCAAGCTGAGGTTCTCTCCTAAAACCAGCACCTTGCAGCTAGGGCCTTGCCAGCAGCGCTTGTGTCTCCATTGTTGTAAGAGGACACGAATCGGTCACGAGTCAAATGTTGTAGTACCTCAGACTCAGAGATCGATTCACTTGACTGCAGGGCTGCGGAGTCGATGGATTTTCGGCGACTCCGACTCCGACTCCGACTCCGGCTTTCAAAAACCAGCTCCGACTCCGACTCCGACTCCGGGCAGAATTGTCGACTCCGACCGACTCCAACTCCCGACTCCGACTCCGCAGACCTAGCAGGGCTGCGGAGTCGACAGATTTTCGGTGACTCCGACTCCGACTCCGGCTCGGGTTTCTAAAATCGACTCCGACTCCGACTCCGACTCCGGTCACAACTGTCGACTCCGACCGACTCCGACTCCGACTCCGACTCCGACTCCGCAGCCCTGCTTGACTGAAACCAGCGTTGGTGTCCGCACGAATGACCAGAATTAATTAACTCGGACGCAACTTATGTTTGTGTCACTGCTAGTCACGTCAATGCATCATTTGGTCGCTTAAGTCTAGAACTCGGTAACCTTTTCATATACCCATCCACATTAGCCAGGCCAGGGTTTCGCAGTGCCATTACATTTGCAATATTCAAAATTCAAATCAAGACACCCCCCCCCCCCGATCATGCTGAGCGGCGTTTCGGCGCGTCAAGAGCACTGGTGAAGGGGGAGGGCGTCACCTCCGGGGCTGTCTCTGATCATGCGGCGTGAACTGCTCCCGCTGCCAAGACCTTCCAGCTTCTTGGCCCACCGCCACTCCTTGTCTACCAAAAAGCCTCTGGCAGCGCTTCGACAAACTACCAATGCCTATTTGTACAGTTAAGTCACTGCTTATTTCTGTCTTGTTGCGCAAAACAATGTAACTCTTGTGGAGACTTGGCCAGACCTGCCTATGCCTACCGATAATTTGCTTCACATTTCTGACAACGGAGATGCTTCGATGTTCCCCAAGGTCATGCATTTGTGGTCGTATTAATAATAGCCGGCGCAGTGCGGGTAGGCGGTATTTTCGGCCGCGGCCAACTGTGCATCGGAGGCCGAGGCACCAGGAATAGACAGGGGCTGTTTACACGGCAGTGCTTCCTTCTTGACAGGAACTGGCCGGGCCGGCGCCGCACCCCTCCGCGCCGCACTCGGCGGCGAATGTGGCGCCCGTTCAAAAGATCACAGGCTCACGGGATCGGCCAAGCATCGTTAATCTTTATTTAAATCCCAGCTAATCGACCTTTTCAGCAGCTGCTCTGGGAATGGATACCGTGAGGAAGGGTAACTGAGAGCGGTTGACTCAGGAAGCAGGTTTTTAATTGATATCATTGGTTCATAAGACGTATTAGAGATACCTGCCGAGGGAACTTGATCAGCGTTGGAAAGCAAGTCTCATGCAGAGCCAAGTTCAGGATCAGGTCAATTCTCGTCGATTGTCTCAGGAGGAAACGCTACAAAACATTTGAACCGGTAATAGTTTATCAAAAGAATAACGAAAGCTCATTCAGTAAAGTTTCGTCGGACCACAGACCCCATTAGGCAGAGGTCTGTGAATCGACCCATATTGGCTCGATGCTGTAATATTGCTGATATAATATTGAATGTATTTCTGAAATATAGGAAATGAGGCAGATTCTGTGATGAAATACGACTGTAAAGAATCTCAAGACAATTGCTAGGTCATGTAGTGACGTCAGAGTGCTGTTAATTCGCACCTCACTGGAGAATAAATATTGCCCCGAACGAAAGTGAGCAGCTCCTAGATGTCTGGAAAGATCTTTCAAAGAATGCTTGCTTTCTTGCAAGCAGAATGCATTTGTAGTCTAGGTCACGTTAAATGTCAAATACCCAGACAGGTCTTCAGGCTCCACGTTCCTTGCTTCCTTAACCTCCTAATGGGAAATACTGAACAGGCCAGACTTGTTTAGACCGCCTCGACTATGTAGAGCTGTTGATCTGTTTGGTAGCATTTTGCGGGCGGTCATGCAGAACTGAGAACATCAACAAATGGTTACTTCTCTTTTGCCCCTTTCCCTTCGCGGATTGCAGGTCGTTCAGATGGTCGTTTCTGCAAGGTCAGTCTAAATGGCAGAGCGGTAGACTGTGCGCGTCTGCAGGATCAGGCAAGGCATCCTCTTCGTTGCAGTGCTCTCCCACTTGGCTGACAAAGCCAGGGTAAGACGAAACAGTCGACGTGGGCTGCAGGCCAGGTGGAAATCGAAGTTGTTTCCTCATCCTCACTTCTTATACTGCTGCCATGCAGAGTGAAATCATTCCACTAGCCAGGTCATGTGACAAGTTCTCCTGGCGAGCTTTGCTGTGGTTCTGGTGCCGGTGGAGCCACACAGGTGGTCTATCGGTCACGCGGCATTGCTGGCTGCTTGCTAGCGCCCGTACGGCTTTGGAGTAATTTTGTTGTGGTACATAAGGGCCACTTCATACTGTTGAAAATCCCGCTCATTTTTTACTGTTTTAAATAAAATGTAGGCAATTGGTATTGGTAAATGCCACCGAACAGTATAAAGCAACAGCATTTGTTGGCCTGCGTCCTGGTGGGAAATCATTTTTCGATCGTCACTTGGGTCACTACAGGTCGAATAGTAAAATTATCACGAAAAATGTTCCCGATTTTGACAACTGTTCACAAATAGACGAATACCTCGGGAACGAATGAAACTACAGCGCCACAGAAAACCGCATTCGATAGCTCTTTCAAATCTTTTTCTGAACGTTGTTCTCAGGTTTGCCCTAGGGTTAACAGTTTATCCCCTATAGGGCAAAATGTTTAAGTTCGACGTTTTTGCAGGAAACGTTTTCTCTAATAACTTTTGTCACCACGCTTTCATTACGTTGATTTTACCTGTCTCGCATATCTCTCGTTGAGACGCATATATTGAACTACATAAGTTGCTCTGATAAGGTCAACTTCAAAATCTGACCGCATTATGCATCACAAGAAATGTGTTACAATGTATGCACAAGACACCAAACAGAAGCTATCCGAAATAGAATAAAAACAGGATAACAGACGTGCCGCACGGTATCCACGTTCACGTTACTAACCTGTCTCCCGTTTTGCCGAGCTCTGTGTATCGTCTCCGACGAGCGTCGGCCAGTCGGTCTGCTAGCCAGCAGCACACTGGCACGACTGTCTTCCCCCTCCGCTCCGGGAGGGGGGGGGGGCGAGCCCCCTCCGGCGCCGCGCCGCCGCACGCCGCTGCCAACCCCCCTCCTCTGGGGGGTCTGTCAGTGCGCCTCAGAATATACTGAAGAGCAAGCTTCAGACGCGATAGCCTACTGGGTGGGGCACAACGCTAAGGAAACAAGAGACGACAAAACGGAAGGCTGGCGACATGTCACGAGACGCCCGGAATTCGGTTTGGAAGGTCAAAGTGCCACTGGGTGGGGTCCAGGACGCCCGTGTCGTCATCCTGCAATTGATCTCGGGTTCATTATATGGGTTGGACACAGGAACATCTAAGGGAGAGGCCGGTGACACCTTTGTCGGATCAGATGGCAACACGGAAAATTGAGCTCGGTGTCAGGGTCCAATCTGTTAAAAGTGAGGATACGACTTTCCTACTGTTAACGCCAGACCCGTTGAGACCCTAATTTTTCGCGATTATTTTTAAATGCGTGGTTTAGGAAATAGTTGTTTCAAGACCTGCCGAAACCTTTTCTTCAAATACGTTTTGTTGTCATTTAAATATTTGTGGCACTTGTCATTGACTCGTAATGTTAACTGTTTTTCCATCCTGGATAGAGGCTTTCATACGTCATATGACATTAGGCTCCGCCCACGACTGCGGCATTGACCCGTGCCCATCAGCGACCTCTGTACACACGACACCCCTGCCATCTGTAAAGGACTATGAAATATGAATTTCGCTGACGCTTCACGTGCCATGTATCAATTCAAATTACAGCAGACGGTCAAGTAAATGTTAAGCTCTTGTTGACTCTCGTATAAAGGATCAAGAGAACCATCACTCCTAAACCTACTACTCACACATGCTTCGAACAAACGTTAAAGATTCCTAACAAATACGATTTTCGATGTAGGATATATGTTTGAAATACGAGCTAGCCTTATGGTGTGAAGCGAAGGCAATTAACAATTATTGCGTTATTCGAAGGTTGCATAGCGATGTACAAATCAGCAACTACTTAATGACATCCGACATCCCAGTATCACATTATCTGCAACGCCATAGGCTTTAAATACAGGTGAATATTTCCTAACGTTATGTCAGGTATATGCCATCTGCCCGTCATTTGCAGCTTATGAAAATAAAGCAAATATCAGCGAACCTATCAGCATTGTACAAACAATGCACATTGAGCATTTATGGCTCCTCAGTCATCATGTCGCTCTTTGGGCACTGTCAGACAAGACGCTACGCACAACTCCGCCGGCTTTCGGCACCGCTCGACCGTCCCCGCTCCCCGCTACAGCGCGAGTGACCGCGCGCCGGCCCGAAACCGCCGCAGCCCAAGACCACAGAGGCAGGGCTTAGCTTTGACGTCATAACGTATCACAGACTGACTGCCAGTGATAGCCTCTACACACCGGGTGAAAATCTTGCTCGAAATTTAACATTACCAGTCAAGAGAAGTGCCTGAAATATTGAAATGGCGACAAAATATCTAAATTGTAAAAGCTTCGGCAGGTCTTGAAACGGCCATGTCCTGAGCTTGGTTGAAATTCTTCCACGCATTTAAAAATAATCGCGAAAAATTAGGGTCTCAAGGGGTCTGGCGTTAACAGTAATTCCTGAAAGTGACCATCCCACTTTAACATAAGTTTTGAGTTGAGATAGCCAAAATAGGGTCCCTGGCCTGCACTTACCGGTTTGAGCACTCAGTCACAACATCGAGAAATGCTTCTAATCGAAAATATCTAATTTCAAAGTTGCAGCACTTTGATTCAGAGGGTTCAATGCATTGTAATGCCCCCTCTGAATATGTTACGTCAGCGCAGTTAAAACGATTTTAAATCTTTTACTAAAACGTTTGGTAGCACGCGGTGGTATATGCTGCTTTGCCGCGCAACAAGTGCCGCATTTTCAAATTAAGTCGTTAGGAACAGCGGAGATCCCAAAAAGTAAACAAAAGTAAAAATCTTATATCCTGAAAACCGGTGAATATTTTTCGATGAAATTTGGTAGCTATTCGTTTTCGCTCTTTCTGAGCCGAGCGACATCACTTTAATGTCAATCGAACCCCTTGCCGTTTCGCCCCTGATCGAGCTAGAGCTTCGCGAAAAAAAAAAACGAATGTGTTGCCCATGACGAGCGAAAGCTGATAATAGGTACCCAATTTTAAGGTCCTAGAGCATCGGTTGACCTTCCAGGTCAGGCCAATGACCCAAAAGTCGGGAAAATCGGGACCCGTTGGAGCGTCGTTAAGTGTGGCTACTAGGAGGTTTTCGGAGTGCTGATCACGATTATCACGTTAGTTTTGATCACAGATGATGTCTTCATGCATTTAGGTCAGGCCAGGTCGGTTCAGGTCAAGTCAGGTCAACCAGTAGGGCCTAGGGGTTTTGTCGGGTATTCTTAGTAGGTGTTAACCGCCTCTGACAGTTTCCTAATATGTTATGAAGGCATTAAACTACTTCGTTAATGTTCAAAATTCAAATGGTTGCTAAATTCAAATTCAGCTCCTAGCCTAGAAACATGTAAAACTCGAAAACGTGAACCGAGGTCATCAAAGGTTAATGACCTGACTTGACCTTCAGGTGACCTTGACACCCACCCTAATGCATGGGAGCAACATCATATCGCGACATGTTTGAATGCTTGAAACCACGAAAAGACTGCAAACGCGCGCGCGGCTTATGTAAGCCGACATACGCCGAATCGCAATTCCGGCCAAACATGGCCTCGAAAAGTAGGTCACAGGTCAAAGGTTATTAGAGTAAGGGTCATGAAGTTTCAGGGTGGGTTTAAAATTAACCCTCACCGGCCGAGGGGGGGGGGCGGGTGCTGACCCCCCCCCCCACATGATTTTTTTTTCACGATAGCTCCGAACACGCTGGCGATAGAGAGCTGAAACTTGGCATAGCTGACCTTTGCTTCAAGCCGGATCTGTTGACACCAACCGCATTTTTGGGTCAGGTCAGGTCACTGACCTATGACGTCATAAGGGAACCTCTGCACTGTCTTCAGATGTCGCACTCGCAACATCGCAACGCCCTCACTGCCAGAGATATCACAGAAAATGAAACTTGCAGGATCTAGTATCCATTATGAGTCTCACAACTTGTATATCTCGGATTTGTCCTGAAGGTCATATGAGGTCGGGTCATTTTCGTGACCTCACCATTATAAGTCAATGGGGAAAAATGAAAACTGCTATTCTGGCGCCGGGAACGATCTCCAACTATTTCAAGCACACAGAATCGTGGTTTGATGCACTCCTTGTAAGGTTACATGCGTCACTTTTGCAATGTTGACCTTGCGTGACGTCATTTATGACGTCATCAAGGTCATATTAGTTTTTCGTCAATAACTCTTGATCAAATTGAGCTAGCGAGTCGGGAAAGCCACCAATGGACTCAGGAAGACCTGCCGAATCGAATGATATGCGACATGATCGACCAACTTCGTGACCTGGGGGTGCTGACCTGACCTTGACCTGAGGTCAACACCTTAAGTTGACCTGACCCAAACAAAAAGTATATCATTCGACGCGCCTGAGTAAGGCGAACACGATGCTGAAAATCGCGGCTCTGCGGCCGTTTTTTGCTAAGTTATTCACCAAAAACTGAACTGTACCTTGGGGCACTTGACCTGACCTCAGAGGTCACCGGTTGACCTAGGACCTTAAAATCCGGTACCAATCTCTGCGTCTCGTAACGGCGCACACGCCCGTTTTTCCGCGACGCGCTAGCTCCACCAGGGGCGAAACGGCGAGGGGGTCGTACCCGCCCCCCCCCCCGCTCGGCCGGCGCGTATGTAGAAAACCAATAGGTCCGGCGAGGGTTATGTATTTTCGCTCCTCAATCAATGTCCTGTGAAAGAAAGAAAATGACTCTCCCATTAATTGACAACCGAATCGACACTTTATTATTGGAATCGAATGCTAGCAGTATTGCATGAAACCATTCAATTTGTATATATGGGAGCAATCTTACCTCTCGTACAGGTCTCGCGGGTTTTAACGGTAGGTCGCTCGGCGAGCGGGAGGGCAACCACTAACCAGTTCCGCCTCTGTATCGGTGACCATTTGCTCCGCCCAGTTCAGTAGGCGGAACTATGGTCATGAGTACCCAAATATAGGAACGTTCCCATTTTTGGGAACGGAGTTCCCAAATATGGGAACGGGCGTTCCCATTTATGACAACGGAAGGCAATTTTTCGGCCGTTCGCCCACTAAAACTCAAAAGTGCATCACGTCTCAAAAAAGTGCACGCTGATTGAAGTATCTACTAAATCTCCATAAAGTTATCTTTAATCTGACCGTGGAACAAGGAAATTGACCGTGGAATGATATTTTTAATGATTTTTTAAAAATGACAAAATGTTGAAAATATGGGTTATACGACATTTAACATGCAATTTTAAGGAAAATGAAGCATTTTTTAGTTTGAAGTTAAGTATAATAATTTTCGCCTGGTTATGAACTTTCATACTATCGACACCAGATGCTGACAAATGCAAGCGAAGACGCGGACGGTCCCGAGGTAATATTGTTGACTTTTGGTGTCGGGGCGGACGACCGCGTGGAACGTGAGTGAATTTACCGAACTACTGTTGTAAACTCAGTTTAAGCGGTTGAAAATTATCCAGCTGTATTTTATCAACCCTGAAAGACATATTTTATTTGGAAACTAGCTGTTAAGCGTTGCTTTTAACCCTCGCCCGTAAACGGCGATCTGCCACCTTCGCCCATGCAGGGGGGGGGTTGGTGCGACCCCCCCCCCCTTGGCGTTTGAAAACGGAGCGTCGTAGAGCTTAGCGGAAAAGACCAACGGATTGCTCTCGCCGAGATCTCGCGATTGGTGGTATAGTTTTTGGTCCTAGGTCAACATTTGACCTACTTTTGACCGGTCAAAGGTCAAATTTTCGGAAAAATAGACTTTTTTCAACTTTCCGCGGCGATTGCGGCAAAACGGTGGGAGATATCGACTTGAAACCTTCACTATCGTGTTCCTTGATCAATTCTCTATCGTTTGGTATGTATTTCGTTTCCCTAGCTCTAAAAATGGCGCGTTGGGAGCGCCGGAAGTCGGCAAGGTCACAGTCGGCGGCAGAAATTCGAAAAATCAAAAT